AGTGGCTCAGTGAAGAATTAAGTAACTTGGGGACCAATGTTAAATCGTAAGAAAAAGAATAGCAATTTCTTGAAACGTCTGTGTAACTGAGTGGGCCACAAGACAAAAACTAATATTATAAATATTCAAAAGGAGAGATCAAATCGGAAAGGGTAAATAAGGGTTCGTCCAAACTATCATTTCATCGATAAGAAGGAAAAAAGTCATCATGAATAGAATACACAGAGGAAGAAGTAATGCTGTACGTAATAAAATGGTACATTAAAGTGTCTGCCTCACTATTTATCACCATCTCTTTCTAATTATTACGAACACCAAATCCCAATGCTCCCGCATTTCTTTTACCGCCCAAGGCCACAGGTTTGTCTCCATAAAGATATGGGTAAGATATCACTGTAGCTCAAATATATTTAGTTGTAGAGTTTTCTCAAATAAATTACAAAAAATAAATAAATAATGATATGAACAGTCAAGTTGATTCTTTTACGCCTTGAGTACTCTCATTTTCTATTGGTTGGAATATTACCGAATGCTTCCAAAAGATACTATACAGTCCGAAATTGGCATTAACATTTAGACTGTATACAATTTGAGAATTGGTACTCAACAGAGCACACGGCCTAATTCTTGGTGTAAGGTTAGTAAACAATCTTGATGGAGAATGCTCGTCTAAATTAGTCTCCAACGAGCTAACGCATCTTTAGCTAGCACACATGAGGTTAACACACAACATGTCGTCACTTACTTTACGAAAATAAATACTTGAAGATATCTCATACTTCTAACATGTTAGATTCTGATCATAAATAAGCATTCTACTAATAGTTGGTCCCCATAAACTACCATACCAATGCGTTGCATATCGCTTTCTAGTTCGTCAATATTGCAAATATTTGCTTCTTTTTTTTATACTGCAACAAATGTGACGGCCTAGTTGTTTTAAACGATGTAACGGATCAATTATAGATAATCTGCAAGACACGCATATGGTTCTTATCTGAAAAATTTTAAACCTAAATTCAAATGTTATCGGCCACAAGAACATTTTTTTTACGAGTTTATTTACTGCCCATTTCGTACATTCAATATTCTTTGACAATATCTTGCGTGATAAGTTGTATAATAATATATGTATACCTATTTTTATTACTAAAATCTTTCTTTTCCGCACATCCGTACTTAATAATTAATAATAAAAATTTCACGTGGACTTGTTTTCGGAACCTTCACGTCATTATCGTAATGAGAGTCACGAGTGGCACAAGATCTTTGAAATATCAATTCTTATTCGATTTTGGCCGATTATAACTACAAAAATCAACAAAGAAACATGTAGTGATAATATAAATATTCTATCGTAATCATCAGTATAGCGGCTATTAGAAGATTTTGCGATAGTAATCATAATATATGAGGCGTAGTTTTAATAAACTCGACACTTGATAATTACCTTCGTAATTAGTTAGAATCTGAAAATATTTATCATGTTAAGTATATATGTTTCATAATATAAATTATATAATCGTACATTAACCATCTAGATACAATACTACTTTCCTTTGTACGCATTGGAAGTGATTTGTAAGAGAAGTTTACGTATACGCCTTTGTCAAAAAAAAAGAAGTTTGTGTATATATATATACAGTATATATATATGCATTAAAAAATGGGAGAGTTTCAGATTTAATTCATATTTCAAAGTCAAACATAAAACTAACATTTTTTTTTCTTTCCAACTTTTCTCATTTTCTCACAATTTTATCCTTCCCATTTAAACTATTAACGAAAATGCCATTATACATCTAATAATTCGATTTTTCTTTAATTGGTTAAAGTTTTCTTGGACCTTCTAAAGACTTTTTAATTACGAGAATGCCATCGTCTTCAATACTTTCAACCACCATGAACAACCATGAAAATGGAATAAATGCTTATCAACCAATTTTAAAGCTGTAATAAGTAAATATTTAAGCTCATTCACTCATAACCTTTCTCATTCTTTCATAATTTCTTCTCCAAAACATCTGGGCTAAGTTACAATGCCAAAAGTCATGCATTTTCAGTGATTTCTGGTTACTTAACATCTGGGTTACTTATTTTTGGTGATATTCTGAGTTCTGGGTGCTTAAAAGAACTGTAGCCGAGCTCAATTTTATAAAAGTAATCGTCGCACTTCAATTTCTCCATATTTCAGTTTTCATATCGCGAAAGTAGACTTCTCGTGAAGTATACTGAAGTCTACTAGTCAACATAAGGTTATTTTTGCAATTGACTTTTTAAAAGTAGACTTCGTTAAACTTCACGAGAAGTCTACTCGACATCCTTTGAAAACAAAAAAGCTTAGTAGACTTCGTTTGAAGGCTCAAGAAGTCTACTAAAGAAAATAGGTTATTTTTGTAGTTGACCGTATTTTGACTTTTTGATTTAGACTTCCGTATGAAGTCTACTGCTTACGTCTGCATACGAAGTCTACTTTAAAGTTACTTTTGTAGTTTGACCAAAAACGTATAGGTCATTTTAGTGTTTGACTTCTGTTTTTCAAAAATTAAAAAATTAAAAAAATCCCAAAAAACTCCAGTAGACTTCCCAAAAAAGTCTACAAACCGTAGACTTCTTTGTGAAGTTTACTTATTGTGTTCGGTCAAACTTGGAAGGAATCTTTTTTTTAGTAGACTTCATAGTGAAGTCTACTAAAAAAATTCAATTGCAAAAATAAACTATTTTGTTCCGTAGACTTCTATTTAAAAAGTAGACTTCAAAAGTAGACTGCCAGAGAAGTCTACTCTTACATGAAGTCTACAATATAAGTCTACTATGTTAGTCAACGCATTGGTCAATTGCTAAAGTAACATTTTTTGCCTAAAGTCTACTCTTGAAGTCTACTGAAGGAAAAGTCAACCGATTGGTCAATTGCAAAAATGACCTTTTTTTAAGTAGACTTCATTAGTAGACTTCTCGATGAAAAAGTAGACTTCTCCTCTAGTCTACAATTGAAGTCTACTATAGAAGTCTACTTTCCCATGTTTTTTTAAAAACGCGTTTTAAGCAAATGTATAAACTATTTTTCAAATTTTTTGGTTCAGAACTGCTTCTTAGTAAGTGATTGAACTATCCATTGAATTTTATTTCATTTCATTGGATATTTATTGTTGAATCACAAGTTTTGATTTTTTAGGTACTTAGCTTATCAAAGTAGACTTCTCCTCCAGTCTACATTTGAAGTCTGCTTTAGAAGTCTACTTTTGACGTTTTTTTTTAAAACGCGTTTTAAGCAAATTTTTAAACTATTTTTCAAAATTTTTGGTTCAGAACTGCTTCTTAAGTAAGTGATTGAACTATCCATTGAAATTTATTTCATTTCATTGGATATTTATTGTTGAATCACAAGTTTTGATTTTTTAGGTACTTAGCTTATCAAAGTAGACTTCTCCTCCAGTCTACATTCGAAGTCTGCTTTAGAAGTCTACTTTTGACGTTTTTTTTAAAACGCGTTTTAAGCAAATTTTTAAACTATTTTTCAAATTTTTTTTGTTTAGAATTGCTTCTTAGTAAGTGATTGAACTACCCAGTGAATTTTATTTCATTTCATTGGATATTTATTGTTGAATCAGAAGTTTCGATTTTTTAGGTACTTAGTTTATCAAAGTAGACTTCGTCGTGTAGTCTACTAATGTTCTTTTATGTGGCTTTAGATATAATGTGTTGTCTTAGGTGATAAAAATACATAACATGACCAATACACTTATGCTTATTACAAATGATGACCAATAGATATTTCTATTGTTACTTACGTTTTTGCAATAATATGGTTCATAATTTTGTTTGTTAATATGGTTTTTTTTGTGTTTTATCACAAAATATTGTTTATAGAGAATGATAGATGAGAACTTGTGTAAGTAATGCTTTTGTATTCTTGTTTGCAAGTTAACAGTTATAGTACACAAGTAATTAAAGTGACATAAGCTAATTTTAAAACATTATCTTGGACACATTTGAGTATTTGTTATGTGCATCAAGAGTTCGA